TAATCGCCAGTTGACAGAGATCAATTTGCCTGGAAAAATGGCTGCTTTGGAAGGTGGACTCTGTGGCATTATATGCCCCACTGAAGTCCCTTCCCAAACCCCACCCTCCTCAGGCCCAACCCCAAAATATCCAGGTATTTCCCAACCCTGAGCTGGCAACCCTACTGGTAAGCCCTTTGACCCTGGGTCACCTTAACTGATGGGCCCTTATCTGGTCAGTACAGCCCGACATGGCATGTGTTGCCATTGGAAAGGTGAGAAGGTCTTCTGCAGGTGAGAGCAAGGGCACCCTGTCCCTTCTGTTCCACACCTAGTAAATGTACCCTTAAAATAAATAAGACCATGGTTTATTTTAACATACGGTTAATTTGTGAAACCAGAGTTCGGTTTACAAATGAATTGCTCAGATCCTTGTTTGCCACAACAAATGCTGGTTCCATTTCCTTTGCTCTGGCCAGGCGTCTCGGTACCTGGGAAGTGCCGTCCGAGTGTCGCCGGGCAGCAGTGCAGGAGTTAGCCAAGATGTCTGTGTCCATGTGTCACTTGAAACCATAGTTCAGGGTAACTGGTTAAAAAACTAATTTGAAACCATGGTTTCAGATCCTGGTTTGACAGCCCCTAACTAACTAAATGTGACAGCCCACATTCATGTGTTCAAAGTAACCCCACGGTTGGTTTGTTTAAACCGTAGTATGGCTTTGTGTCTGAACTGAATCTGAGACTGATCCAGAATGCCATTGTTAACTTGCCCTAGTTGGTACTCACTCTGTGGCTCCCAGAGAGCCACATTCACAATTACCACCAACCCAAAGAGCCACATTTATCACCACCTCGGGCATGAGGGATGCTTGCAGTTTATCAGGTCCTCCAACACCAGCTGTTTCTTGCCTGCCAGCCACAAGCTTCACCTGGGAATGGCTTTGCTCGCTTTCCTGAAGCATGAGGCAGGTGCCACACTGGGGAACAGTGCTCAGAAGAACCACAAGTAGCATGTGGAAGAGCTACCTGTGGGTCCTGAGCCACTGAGCTACTATCACTGACTTGGCCTGTTCCATAAAATTAAGAGAACGCTAAATGCGACTGAAGCTTCTAGTGGATCTTCAGGTAGCCTCTTTCAATTGTGAGATTCTTCCATCGAGACAGGGAGCACCTAGCATCCCATACCTCATCAAAGCAGGGGTAACCAAGAGAAGTAGGCAGCTTCCTCATTAAACCTAAGCGATGTCACAACTAGACTTCCCTCCTTTATATATAACAAGGGGGGGACCCGCGATACTCGCGGGAGAGGAGGACCTCCACTTCCCATTGCAGGGGTAGAGGAGGCCAGGTCTACTCACTCCTTTCCATTGCAGGGGTAGACCTGGCCTCAGGAGGCCAGGTCTATTCACCCCTTCCCTTCCTCCGGAGGAGTCCAGGTCTACCCCTGCAATGGGAAGGGGTGGGTAGATCTGGCCTCCGGAGTCCAGGTCTACCCCTGCAATGGGAAGGAGTGAGTAGACCTGGACTCCTTCGGAGGCCAGGTCTACCCACGCAATGGAAAGGGATGGGTAGACCTGGCCTCCAGAGGAGTCCAGGTCTACTCACGACTTTCCATTGCAGGTGTAGACCTGGCCTTCCAAGGGGCGGGGCCCGCGGGAGGGAGGCGAGGAAGCAGAAGACGGAGGTAAGTACCTCCGGTCCCGCTGGTTCCCGTCTCCTCCCCCCCTTGCCTCCCCCCCCCGGCCCCCAAATGATGCCTGG